AAAAAAAAAAAAAAAAAAAATATATATATATATATATATATATAATCCATATATATATATATATATATCTTATTTTAGTTTCCATTTATGAACTTTCACAGATTTGGAGTAATATCTTGCTATTGTGTGAGCAGGCCAGAATTGGCCATAGTTTGCCAACCCCTGCTTAACATTCTTAAAAACTTATTGTGGATTCCAAAGCTTCAGCCTCCCAAGTAGCTGGGACTATAGGCATGCGCCACTATGCCCAGCTAATTTTTTCTATATATATTAGTTGGCCAATTAATTTCTTTATTTCTAGTAGAGACGGAGGCTCACTCTTGCTCAGGCTGCTTTCGAACTCCTGACCTCGAGCAACAGTAGAAACTTTTATATCTAAGTAATAACAATCACTTTTGCTTAACTTGCTTGTTCCAAATTTTTATGATGAGAATCTATCAGCTTTATTCTGCCACTAAATTTAAATGAAGATTTTAATTAGATGGCATAAAAAGAGCTTCCTTCTGTGAAAATGATTACACTGTAATACAGAGAATTTCCTCAGGTTTCTCTTTTGATGATTATATATACAGTTTGGAGAAAGAGCAGCTATTTAATGTCAGCTTTAAAGGTTAAGTGAAGAAGTATAATATTTCTAAATTTTCCTCTGGAAGGTAAATATGTCTACAGACTTAGAAGGAACAGACATGTTGGCTGAGAAGGCGGATCGAAGAGAATACATTGATCTGTTAAAAAAAATGCTAACAATTGATGCAGATAAGAGAATTACTCCTTTGAAAACTCTTAACCATCAGTTTGTGACAATGACTCACCTTTTGGATTTTCCACATAGCAATCAGTGAGTATGGTATATTCTGGGGCTTTTTGCCATGATGTAGTCCTTATAAGTGAAACTATCAAGTGAGCAGCAACTTTGCTGCTAACTGATGATTTTCTTTCTCATTGAAAAATCATTATGTTAAAAATTAGATGTGTATTTTTACTCTTTATGATTATAAAAATATTTTGACTCATTTTATCTGAAAGTGCTTGGGAAAAAACTTTAATCTGTGTTTATCTTGAGTTATTTGCTATCTGTTTAAATCTCGGCATTCATTAGTGAATCTTTAATCTCTTTTTCAGTGTTAAGTCTTGTTTTCAGAACATGGAGATCTGCAAGCGGAGGGTTCACATGTATGATACAGTGAGTCAAATCAAGAGTCCCTTCACTACACATGTTGCCCCAAATACAAGCACAAATCTAACAATGAGCTTCAGCAACCAGCTCAATACAGTGCATAATCAGGTATTCAGTAAATGATTTTGGAAACTCAAGCCTAAGGTGGGGAAGAAACTTACTAAGAGTACAGAGTGAGGAACCAGTCCTTGCTATAGTGATATTGTTACTTCTTAAGAATTTTCTATTCTTGGTAAAAGTTGATAGACTGATATTACCTACCATGCGCTGACAAAAATTACATACAAAGACCTAATCCATGCCCTAATATGTCTTAGGATAGTCAAATAAATGGGGTCTGACTATTGTACTGCTGCTAGTTATACTAACTTTGGCTAAATGACTCTTTCTCTCTGTTAGGAGAAGGATTTTATATATCTCATTTGAAAGGTTTGATTTGAAAGGTTTCTGATTTGAAACCTGATTTGAAAGGTTTCCAGTTACTGACTTTAAGGATGGTTTTGCATTTGCTTGCTAACCAGTAATATTTACAGTTTAAGCTTATTTCTAAAGATGAAAGCTTTCCAATTTCTTAGTTAGGTCTACTTTTTAAATGGAAGAGCATATGAGATTTGGAGGGATCTTTTATCCATCTATTTTTTGTACAGAAGTAGTTGGGGTTTATATAGCCACAACCAGTACAGGACTATTTGTTATTCTTTGTTTGCTTATTCAACCTTACAATATTCCTTAAATTTAGGGACTGGGAAAATTTCTTAAGCCGAGAGTTATTTCAAGGATAGTTAAGATTATATTTTAAAACTTTGTTCTAAGTTTTTCTGGATAAATTCTGTATGTGTAAAAATATTGTCTATCTCCACTTTATACCAGTGTACAAATATAATCCTTTTGTTTTTAGGCCAGTGTTCTAGCTTCCAGTTCTAGTGCAGCAGCTGCTACTCTTTCTCTGGCTAATTCAGATGTCTCACTGCTAAACTACCAGTCAGCTTTGTACCCATCATCTGCTGCACCAGTTCCTGGAGTTGCCCAGCAGGGTGTTTCCTTGCAGCCTGGAACCACCCAGATTTGCACTCAGACAGATCCATTCCAACAAACATTTATAGTATGTCCACCTGCGTTTCAAAGTAAGTGGGGAGACTCCTGTATCGTATGATATTATATTAGACCTGCCTGCTTTAGGCAGATCTAGTTGTTTAGTCCTGATCTTTGACAAATTTAAAGTCTATCACTGATGATCAAGGTAACTGAAATTGGGTGATATCACAAAGTGGATGTTCTCTTTTTACATTGATTATTTATCTAATTATGATATTACTTTATATAGGAGCTCAGTTTATGTTTCCTTAATGGAATTGCCTGATATCAGTTTTCTTGCTCATTAAATTCTTGTATCAGTGTCATATATCTTGTGTAAGCATGTATCTTTCAATATGCTGAATATATACATCTTAAAAAAATTTGTTGAAATATCAGAATTGCTATATATTGAATCTTATTTCCCATATCATTCTATTATAGAATTATGTTCCAAATGAAAGGTAATTTTATTCTAAAATGTAAAAATCATGTTTAAGAATGTAGAAATCTCTTAAATTATGCTCAGAAATAAAGATCATTATTTATTGACCTGAAAAATTCTACAAGCTGAGATGCTTGTGTGGGGAAGACATTAAGATTATCTACTTCAGCTTATGAATCATAACATTACTGCAAGCTCCTGTCAACAAAGGAACAGAATAGCTGAAGGAGTCTGACTCCATGTGTTGCAATAAGATTAATTTTCACATTTCCATCCTCCTTTATTTCCTCATTATTGTTTTGTAATCCAGTCTCTCTAGTCCTTTTGTTCTGAAATATGGGAAATATATGTCTAATGATTTGATAAGCCATTTAGAAGGTTAAATTATTTTAAGACTATAATCTGAGAATACATTTGACTTTCCCAATAGAAAGTCAATGTCCATACCCTGTGAGAATAAACCAGGATTCAGGTTTCTCATAACACTTAACATAGAAGCAGGTAGCATTTTTATCTTTTTACATCAGTTACTTATTGACTGTGACTCTTTTGTTTGTTTGGTTTCTGACAGAGTCGGAGCAAGCAGAAGGAAAAGAGGGGCTAGGGGAGACTGAGAGATTACCGGGAGGACAGGAGAGCGATAGCGATGTAAACCAGGGAGAAACCACAGGGAGAGCGGAGGAGCAGATTCAAAATCCGTAAATGCAAATTTAGCCTGATTTACCAAATATTTTCTGCATATGCTTCATAATAGTAAATTCTTTGCTTTGGGTTGTCATATGTTGAGTAAGTCTTCTACTGAACTTAGCAAATTAGCCACCTTTTCTTCCACCTTTTCCAAAGTGAGTTTCATTGGAACAATTTTCAGATGTGGTACCCTGAAGTTTTCTGCTTCTTCTCAGATGACACTTAAGAGATGAAGCAGAAGAACTTTTGAGTTCCTTTAACAAAACAAAATGTAAACTGAAGAGGTAGAGGGGAAAAATGGGATAACCCTTTTTGGTATAATTAGGTAAGTGTAAGCTTTGGAAATGTTTTTTCCTATCTAGGAAATCTGAATAACCTGAGGAGATAGTAGAGCAAATTATAAAATTTCCCAATGGAGTTTTAAAATTAAAGTGATGGTGATGATACATGATACATACCACTATATACCAGATAATGTTCTGAGTGCTTTTACATATATTAATTCATCCTCACTAATAACCTTAGGAGGTAGGTAATGTCATTATTCCCAACTTAAATAAGTGAGAAATTTGAGCATGATTCCCTCATCTGCCTAAAGTATTATAACTAATTATGGCAGAACCATATTTTAAATCTAGGCAGTGGAATTCATAGCTTATGTATTTTGAAGTGTTATTCCATTCCACTGCTTCTCAGTGTTTTAAACTCACAGCTGTAAAGAGTTGTTGGTTCATTTGCCAACCTCCACAATTTTCTGATTTCTACCCATTAGTTCTGTATATTCCAGGTTGCCCACTTTTCTTTGACCATTTGTTATTTTACAAGATGCCTCTACTTAGAGGAGAATAGACCCTCATCAATTAGGCAATTTACTCTTCTTTCCATACTTTCAAGGTTCTGTATTTAAAGGGAAATGTTCAATAAAACAAAAATAACAGCAAAAAATGAAACTAATCCTTCTTAGGTCAGGATTCAGGGAGAAACTCCCAAAAGTGTTGCCTTTTGTTAATTCTTTGTTTCCACTTGTGCAAAGAAGGAACTAGTTTTAAACTAGCTTGCCTGCTGTGGCTTAGCCTAAATAACTGTAGCAATCTAATACTTTAGAGTCACATTTGTAGGTCAGTACTATAAATCCTACTTTCAATACTATTTCAGTTGACTAAAATAGATAGATATTTTGTTCAGTGGTTAACTATTATTCTGTAATTTTGTCCTTCTTACTTTATCACCCTGGGAGCCATGATTAACTTCTGTAATCAACATTTCCTCCTAAGTTTTCCCTCTATAGCTCCTATCAATTTTTAGGAGACTTTTATGATAACCTTGTCTTGAAGTTAGGCATGTATCCTGACACTGTAAGACAAGCTTTCTTATTAGGTAGCATTGCCTAAGGAAGCATGGCTGACAACTTGTTTATCTTGATATATGGATTTGTTACTTTTTATTTTTATGTAAGTAGTACTTTTTAAAAAAGGTACTGGCAGAGTATTTTAATTCTCATTTTACTATTCCCTCTTATTTTGTACATTTCTGGATTGTATTTTTCTTTATAACAACTTATTAAATTATTCATAAAACACTGAAATGGAAAATTGGAAGATTGACTTGCTGAAAATCACAGTATTGTGGTTTATGAATTATGCTTACTTCAATACCTCCGTAGTACTATTAGGAGAAATTAGTTGGTGATAGCTTAGAAAATGTCACTGAGGGAGTCTTCTAATTAAAATGTTCAGGCCAGGCATGGTGGCTCATGCCTATAATCCCAGCACTTTGGGAGGCTGAGAGGGAGGATTGCTTGAGGGCAGGAGTTCAACACCAGCCTGAATAACATAGCAAGAGCTTGTCTTTACAAAAATATTTTTAAAATTAGCTGGGAGTGATGGTGTGCATCTGTAGTCCTAGCTATTTGGGAAGCTAAGCTGAGGCAGAAGGAATGATTAAGCCTAGGAGTTTGAGGCTGTAGTGAGCTGTGATCATGCCACTGCACTCCAGCCTGGATGACAGACAGCAAGACCTTATCTCTTAAAAAAGAAGTTCATATCCTCACTTAACAAAATTGTAGGCATTAGTGAATTGTAGGCATAATAGAAACCTAAATTCTCTATATTGAAAGTTCTGATATGGTAGGTTTAGAAGAAAGCTGTTCCATGAGAGAACTTTCTTGAGAAGGCTCTTTTCTCAAGTCTTGGCAAAAGGGAGAACTGTCTTTAGCCCCTCTTTTCCCTAGAATGAGATCTTCCTATTTATAAGAAACATAATAAGTACAAAAATGTTTTTATAAACCAAATGGTCTTTTAAAATATTTTTATCCTAGGCATAATTTCTTCAGTTCACACACTGGTTAACGATAAGTATATGACTAATTTGTGAACTAGCTTATGTTTTTTGAGGAGTAGGGAAAAACTTCCTCTAAAACATTTTAAACAAAAGGGTAACTTAAATTATAAGTTAATGAGCTTTTCATAATTTTTCCTATCTAATTATCAAAAAATTATATTAGTCTTGCTTTTAAGAGATTATCATTTTAAAAACACTGAAGGTTGTTTTTGTTCCTTTAGTGGATTGAAAAAAATAAATGTAATTTACTAAGCGAAGGGTTTTATTTATTTTTGCCTATACTGCTAATGAGGATGAGATAAATGTTATATTTTAAATTTTGTAGCATAAACAAATTTAGAGTTTCCTTAAAACCAGCCCTCACTGTATCAAATGGCTTTCCATTAATCAGACATCAAGGGGGAACTAAGTCTCCCTTTTCTTAACTCCCAAGACTTCTGTGTATGAGACTTGTCTTAAATAACCTGAATCGTGGATTAGTTGAACAAAAAAGCTAAAAACAAAAAAATCTAAAACAAACAGACCTAGGAAAGTGATTTAACTGTGATGCTGTTTTCAACAGCTGGACTACAAGCAACAACAAAACATTCTGGATTCCCTGTGAGGATGGATAATGCTGTGCCAATTGTACCCCAGGCACCGGCTGCTCAGCCATTACAGATTCAGTCAGGAGTTCTTACACAGGTAAAAGCCAGCTTAATATTGTTGAAGCACTATTGAGAATCAGATATTTTGTCCTAGAAAATGACATTTTCTTTTACTACAAGATCTTTCTTGGTCATGATTCTGTGGGCTTAAAATGAAGTAACTATATGAAACAATATACTCATTCCTAACACTGTTGCAACTGTGCTAGTGTCTTCCTTCAACTTGCACAGGTAAATATCCAGGCATTGAGAAACAGTCTTCTGAGTAAGTTTACTCTAATTTTGGGGATGAATTTTTTTTTTTAACCTTAGAGCTCTTAAAGATACAGTACACAGGCAACATTTTTATTTTAAAATAGAAGGTTCTACTTTTGCTTCCTTTGTACCTTTTGCTTACTCTTTAAAAATTGCATCATGGTTAAGAGACTAGACCACATTAGGATGCCTCTTCAAGTATTATATTCCCCTTCATTTCTTGTGTTTAACTGGGCTATAGAAAACTTTAAAACTTCATACTTGCCATGGAACATGCAACTAATATGATTGAGAAAATCATGAAATATTTATATATCAACAAATACTACATTTTAGGTTCTATTTGTAAATATTTGTGATCCATAGGAAATTCTGAAATCCAAAAATCCTCTTTTGTGAGTAGGAGGAGAGATTCTTTTTTTTTAGGACAAATATAGCAGGTGAATAGGAGGAGAGATTCTTAATGTCTTTGTTTCATAGAACTGATGACCTGAATCTGGCCAAGAAGGATTCCTATACTTTTTTGCTTCAGGCCATTGACATTTGACCTAGTGGGCCAATGCTGTACAGAGTTGAAGGGGGAAAGTTGTGTTTGGTACCTACATTTTAGGTGATATGAAATTACTGTGTATTGTCAATAATAACTTGGGGGGAATGAGAACCCTTCTGAATCCAGATAACCTGCCTTCATGTTTGTTTCACTCACCTGCCTAATCTACGTTTCAGGGAAGCTGTACACCACTAATGGTAGCAACTCTCCACCCTCAAGTAGCCACCATCACACCGCAGTATGCGGTGCCCTTTACTCTGAGCTGCGCAGCCGGCCGGCCGGCGCTGGTTGAACAGACTGCCGCTGTACTGGTAATTCCCCTCACTTGATTGTGTTACTAACGGAGTTTCTTTGATTTCTTTCTTTTTTATTTTTTCCTGTTTGTTCTGTTCTGTTTTCTTCTGGTTTTCTCATTTTTCAAAAAAAATTTTTTAGCTTAGTCTTTGCAGAGGGCATGGAAGCATGTGCCATCTTGTGGCTGTGTTCTTGCTACATCTTTAATGTCTCATTGTTTTCCTCCCCCAACATTTGCTGAAACACTATTTGACTCTAATATTCAGTGTGGCTCTGTAAGGATTCTTTTTTGCCAGCCTAGTGTGATAAAAGCTCTTGGTGTAGCCTCAGAAGAGCTTCAACACTGTTATCTGCCCTTTTACCCTCTGATCTTTGGGAATGAAGGAAATGGCCTTTAGTTTGGCTCTACTACAGGTACCTGGATGGTCAAAATTTGAACTCCTTGGCAAGTTAGCTTTCTTTCTTTTTTTTTTCTTTTTTGCTATTTTAAGCTTCTAAAACTTTTGTTTATGTAGAAATGCTCTTAATTTATTGCTTTATCTGTTGATATTAACCTTCTTCCACATGAAGGTAGTTCTTTTTGCCATTCATGATCAGTGGCAGTTTATATTTTCCATTTAAAGATGTTCCCTTTTGTATGTAGATCATTGTTGGTTGAAATTAATGGTGAACTCATTTTTAGAGATTTTTGGAGAAATAAATATATCTTACAAATAGGTCTTTATGCAAAGGTAAAAATATAGCTGATGAATTATGCAAATAAATATCTTTGTTACTAACAGTCATGGGGAAAAGTTATTGAATATAGCTCTAATTACAGTAATATTATGCTTAGAGATAGAAAAAAACAAACAGGACTTTGAGTATTTCAGGATTCATAAACTTAAGACTGATATTTTGATGTATTTTGGTTTATTTGGGGGCATTAGAATTGTTTATTGGATATCTAGCATTTCGTTATTTGAAATTTGAATTTAGGTAAGCATTTGAAAACCTAAAAGATACTATTAGACCCTGATATTTCTCATTGTCAAAGTAGCTTTAAATTTCTTTTGTGTTTCTCAAGTATTCACATGAATGAAAATACTTTCAGAAACATACTTTGGTTGGAAGTTTTTTGGTTTTTAGTTTAAAAGTCTTTGCCACATCCAGATTAATTTTCTCATAAGCATAAGATCTGAGTATAAGGGAGTGAGATATATTTCCAGCTTGATTGATCTAAGCCACTGATTTTAACTTGCTCACCTATAGTTTCAAGGTTGGGATATTAGTTCACACTTCTCCTTTGCTGCTTTTCTTAAGTTTGCATTAGCCATTTGCTAAGCTTTGCATATTTTTGTTCTTCCTCTGTCAAAACAGTTCGTCGCTTGGAACGCCAGATTTCTGCCTCACGTTGGAATGTTATTTCTTGCTTTGTATTAAACTACATGCTTTGTCTTGTGCAGGTGTTGGCTTATGGAAAGACGCATGGTGTGACTTAACATACTTCTTTCATTTTTTGTTTTGTTTTGTTTTGTTTTAAATTCTGCTTATGGTAGCAGACATGTTTGCAGTTTTCTCTGCTTTGAAGGCTTCTTGTTTGGAACCGGTATTTGTAACAAGTGGATCTGTTACTTGCAGAAATATTTTTAAAATAGTGTGTTGATGGCCTTGCAATTTGAAATTCAAGAAGCAGAACCATATGTATCCAAGCATTATAGGTAATTGTATTGCAGAATTCATGTTTAAAAAGGAAACTTCCAAATCTGTTCCCATTTTTTCAGAAAATGCCAGAATTTCTGTAAGAAGTACAGAAAACATATTTGTTGCTCAGTCTATTGCAAGTGACATTGCTTGTTAAAAACTACAAATGATGTATTTTCTTGTAATGATTAGTTTTTATGTTGAAGTGTTTTCTACAAATGACATATAAAACAAATATTTTTATGGAACTATTAAAAACAAAACATGTTTTCTGCATCTATTTCTTTAAATATTTTACTTATTGCCTTATTGTTTAATTCTATCATATGGCTATAAATGATGAAGTTTCTTTTTCTTGCTGGCATAAGGTTTTTCCCCAAAGGATTTGGCCTTTGGTCATCCACATCTGACTGTATTTTCCAAGCACTACCCCTTTAAAAAAGAAAACTACTCTTTGTTCTACTGTTCTTTTTATGGGTTGAATTAACCTGATGTCTTATCTTATTGGCACTCAAATTTTATAGTTCCTATTTTTAATCTCAAGGGAGTCCTCTTAACTCTTTCTAGGGATATATTTTAGAATTGTTGCAAAAATGAAATTCCAGCATTATAATCAGAGCTTACCTCTGAACTTTGACTCCTTTTCTCTACAGTATAATAGAAACTCTTAACTGCAGGGATCTTCTTTTCTTTAATACCCTGTGGTCAGGTTATAGAAGTAGCCAAGAGAAAGCAGTATGTTTACTTTCCCTATTCATAAGACTTGTAGCCTTGAGCCCCTCTGACCTTTCTTTTTTAATCTCTGCAAGTTAACAATCTACAAGCAACTTCTTTTAAGATACAAATTTTTCTTTCTTTTAAAACAGAAGAAAAAGCCAAGAATGAGTCAACTCTGGATCTTTTTGTATGTGTTTCCTTACAGCAGGCTTGGCCTGGAGGAACTCAGCAAATTCTCCTGCCTTCAACTTGGCAACAGTTGCCTGGGGTAGCTCTACACAACTCTGTCCAACCCACAACAATGATTCCAGAGGCCATGGGGAGTGGCCAGCAACTAGCAGACTGGAGGCAAGTGCCCTAAATTACTCTGGGAGATTTGTAAAGGAAGATCCCTTAGGGTACGAGCACTTGATGGTATGGAGAGCAAATAGGAGGAAAATAAAGAAGAATTCATCTCTTTTTGAAATCCTTTAAGAAAAGAACCCACATCAAGCTTAGGAGATAGAGTTATAAGAAAACTTTAAATATAGGGAAATAATAGGTTCTAAGGTTGAGAATCATTTGCTCCAGATTTAAAGAAAGTCTTAAGCAATTAGATATCCCTGTAGTGAGATCCTAACGCCTTATAATCCTGGTGCCCTACTTTAAAAATAAAATGCAGCTGTATTTGGTTAATTGCTTTTAATACCTATTTGGTCCTGATTTCCCAGTGGTTTTGAGATTCACTCTTTTTGTTGGCACAGGAATGCCCACTCTCATGGCAACCAGTACAGCACTATCATGCAACAGCCATCCTTGCTGACTAACCATGTGACATTGGCTACTGCTCAGCCCTTGAATGTTGGCGTTGCCCATGTTGTGAGACAACAATCCAGTTCTCTTCCTTCGAAGAAAAATAAGCAGTCTGCTCCAGTGTCTTCCAAGTAAGTCTGTGTTAGAGCTGATAGTTAAAAGTGTGCCAGATATCTTGTCTGGTATTTGGAATGTTGTGATATAGACACTTTGGTATGAAGTAGCAACTACCTGCCAAATTGAGGAAGAGGCAATCTTTTCATCTAGGCATGCAACACCAGGTGTTCCCAGGTTATGATAGTCCTTTCTCTCTGCTGCCACTTTGAATCCAGGCCTTCTTTATGATGTTTTTATTTTTCTGCTCACTTTGCAGAATGAAAGTTAACCATAGAGTAAAGGGCTTACAAAAGTAAAATTTCTTTTTATTTTAGTGTTTTTGTCCCTGGCCAGAGTGGTTAGTTTGATTTTCATTGGAACTTTTATAGTTAAGTGTATTAGCTTAATAATTTAGGTAAAAAGGAATCAAAGAGCAAATTGGAGAGCAGTCTGAGGGAAAGAGGTACAGTTTGGGAGGCTAAAGACTGAACCATCTTTCCTGGTGAACTTTTCCTACAGGTCCTCTCTGGATGTTCTGCCTTCCCAAGTCTATTCTCTGGTTGGAAGTAGTCCCCTCCGCACCACATCTTCTTATAATTCCCTAGTCCCTGTCCAAGATCAGCATCAGCCAATCATCATTCCAGATACTCCCAGCCCTCCTGTGAGTGTCATCACTATCCGAAGTGACACCGATGAGGAAGAGGACAACAAATATAAGCCCAATAGGTAAGAGAGATGAATGATTCCTACCCTTTTTGGTCTTTTGGCTTCAAGTAAGTGGCATAGTTTTGCCTATGAAAGAAAGGACTAAAAAGGATTGTGGAAGTGTAGCCTTGGATGAGTCAGCCAAGATGCCTTAAGTTTTCATAATCAAGCATTGTCAGGTTTTTAAATATTATTATACATGTTCATCAGTTATATCAGCCTTTCAGATATGTTAAAGAGCAGGTTTATAGTATTAAGTTGATAAGCTACTAGGGCTTGAAATGCACATTATACTACAGACATGATCCCTGTCTTCAAGGAACTTTATTTTTATGGTCTGAAAACAGATACCATAACAGAAGCATATAAATGAAATTAATTGGAATGAGAGGTAGATAAGAAATTATTTGAAATTTGTGCAATTTCTTAATCTGAAAAGGCCTCTTTGGAAGAGGTAGAACTTTAAGAAGGGCTGCCTTCCTTTTCCCTTTTGCTATATGGTCTGAAAGCTTAAGAAATTAATTACCAGATTGTTTCCTCTTATCCTAGTACCTTAGTCCATGTCTTTAACTGAGAAGTTAACTAAAAGGGAGTGGGTAAGTTTAAAAACTAGATACACACCTCTCTCTTAGTATGAACATAATCAACTGTCTTGATTGTTCTATGTTGTATTCTTCACAGGGCTTTTGGTGTTAGGCATGTGGAAGAGGGAATAACACTGCTTTTACCTGAAGAGATAGGACTCATACATGAAAGTAACATAGGAGACTTTACAGAGTCATATATAAGTGATGTTTAAATAAATTTGAAAGAGTAAATTGGAATGAATGTAGAGCTTATTAGTTCAAAGAGATTATAAGATGGTGGACTTGAAACTAAGTTTTGAAAGTGGTCATTAAACCAATTTGGGAAAGAGAAAAAGTAAACCTTCTAGTAAGGAAAAGTGGCATCATCGTGGCAAAAAATTATATATGAGGCTTAACTAGTATGATTGCTTTGACTGGAGCCAAGCCTATCAAAAACCAGGGAAAAGCTAAAGTTAGTAAGGTGGAAATCAGTTAGTGAAGGAACTTTTTTTTTTTTTAAAGTATGTGGTCAGAAGTTTGATTAGATATAATAAGGAATCATCTGTAGTCTAGAAGGATGATATAAAAAAAAGTGGTGTTTGAAGAACATTAGTGAAATAACTGAATAGGAATTGCTAAGAGGCAACATGAAGTAGGTGTTAGAGGTGTGGACTCTGGAGTCATTCTGTTCTGGGTATGAATCCCGTCTTCACTACTTATCCCTTGTGTGACTGGACACATTTCTTAACCTCCTTATGCCTCAGTTTCCTCATTTGCAAAATGGGGATAATAGTATCGATTTCATAGGATTGTTGTAAGGATTCAGTGAGATGTATGTAGAGCATTAGAATAGTGCCTCATACATAATAAGCACTTAGAAGTTTCCTGCTGCTATGATTATTATTATTATTATCATCATTATCATCATTGTTATCATGGGAAGGCTAGAGACCATCTCAGAAACATTGCTTAAAAGGGCAATTGAATTTTTATATATTTTTCTTCTCTTCAGCTCTGGCCTAAAGCCGAGGTCTAATGTCATCAGTTATGTCACTGTCAATGATTCTCCAGACTCTGACTCTTCTTTGAGCAGCCCTTATTCCACTGATAATCTGAGTGCTCTCCGGGGCAATAGTGGACCCCTTTTGGAGGGGCCCGGCAGAGTTGTGGCAGATGGCACTGGCACCCGCACCATCATTGTGCCTCCACTGAAAACTCAGCTTGGTGACTGCACTGTAGCAACCCAGGCCTCAGGTGAGTGTGTCTTCACAGCTAGTGTTGAATTCTTTGATGTATATATGCTTAATATTTTGCTATAATCTGCTTATGTTAGTAGTAGAGACCAGTGGGCATAGATATTCTTTTTTTTTTTTTTTTTTTTTGAGACAGAGTCTCACTTTGTTGTCCAGGCTAGAGTGAGTGCCGTGGCGTCAGCCTAGCTCACAGCAACCTCAAACTCCTGGGCTCGAGTGATCCTCCTGCCTCAGCCTCCCGAGTAGCTGGGACTACAGGCATGCGCCACCATGCCCAGCTAATTTTTTATATATATATCAGTTGGCCAATTAATTTCTTTCTATTTATAGTAGAGACGGGGTCTCGCTCTTGCTCAGGCTGGTTTTGAACTCCTGACCTTGAGCAATCCGCCCGCCTCGGCCTCCCAAGAGCTAGGATTACAGGCGTGAGCCACAGCGCCCGGCCAATATTCTTAAAGTGTACTTAATTAAGAAATCATTTCCCTGCTGTGTGAAATTATTTTTGGATATCAGTTTATCTTCCTATATTTATTTTCCTTGGATTAATATAAAAATGATATTTTAATCTCAGAAACACATTAAATCTAGACGTGGACAGGATTTGATAGTATTAAACATGACTGCAAAAGTGTTTTACAAAACAATTACATCCTCTAGATTTTTTTTCTTGCTCAATAGTCATAGCAATGATGCTTTTGTTGGTTTTATTTTCAACCTAATTACCTTCATCTTTTTTGCTCTGTTAGATACTGAGTTTGGGCTCTCTGGTTCAGTTACTATATTAGTTGAGTAATACTAGCTACAGTAACAAATCCCAAATTTCTGTGGCTTAACATAATAGAACTAATTTCTCACTTATATAACTTCCCAGTACAAGTGTTGCTGGTTGGTAGGCCTTTGATGAGTTAGGACCAGAGCCTTGAGCATCCAGATCCTAGCCTGAACTGGGTTAGGATCTATTCTGCTAAGAGGCAGAGGGATGGGTGGCTGACTTCTGACAGCACTCATTGCCAGTCTGGGAGATTCTGTGCTGTAGCAGTCCAGAAACAGTACAAGTGAGGACCTCAACAGTCAGAAGGAGAAAGTTAGTTTGGAGGAGGCACACACATTTCTTAACCTCGTTAGCCTGGAAATGTGAACACATGGCCCCACTTAGATGCAAGGGGCTGAGGAAATGTAGTCTTGTCTAGGCAGCTGCTTCTCAGTGGCAACTTTACACCAAGGAAGAGGAGCATGAATTTTGCTGTCAGCATAGCCATCTGTGCTGTACTTGCATAAATAATGTTTTGTTATGGATTATGTTACTGCCATAGTTATAATAAACAGGTTCTGACTTGAAGATACTGTGTTAAGCCTCAGTATGACTCTTCTCCTCAGAAGTAGACAGCAGTCCCATTGCAGACAAGGGAGAACTTCCTGATGCAAGGCTACTGAATAGAATTATTAGGACCTCTGTCCACTCTTGGGTCCAAAGAATATAGGCTACTCCAAGTCACTGAATAAATGCTCCAGTTTTCCTCATGGGAACACAGAAGGAAGCAAAATTTTGTATTCAGCTGTCCTATAATTTCTTAGAATTTGAAGAGAGTAAGTGCCCAACAGGATAGAATCTTGTATGTCTTTAAACATTTTTGACACTTAAATATCCTAAGAATTACCAATATCTCTCTCAGCTTCACATTGTCATTTCTGTACTTGTTTAATCCCTTCCTACATCAAACTGTAGGCTCCTTGGCAGTAGGGACTTAACTTATGCTTGTATTTCTAGTAATTCCTTGTACATAAGAGGAGATTAGGTAATATTTACTCAGGTGAACCTTTTGAAGATCCTTTGTGGAGTTTTCTGCCAAGAAAGAAAAGAAATTGGTGATATAGTTTCTGTTGTTCTGGTGTAAATGGAATTGAGGAAGTAAGGTACATGTGAGACCTTAACTCTTGCAAACTACTACAAATGTGGACTGATTAATACCATCTGAGGTTAGCTCAGTGATACTGAGCAGATATCGGTGCATCATTAACTAAGCCCTGACCCCTTTTTAGGTCTCCTGAGCAATAAGACCAAGCCAGTGGCCTCAGTGAGTGGGCAGTCATCTGGATGCTGTATCACCCCCACAGGGTACCGAGCTCAACGCGGGGGGACCAGTGCGGCACAGCCACTCAACCTTAGCCAGGTAAGCGCTAGGGGCTGCTGCCTTCTGTTTGGGGCCCCCCCTGTTGTTACTCTCTGGAGAACCCTGCTTCTGGCTGGACTGCTGAATAAAGCCAAATGAAGCCCCTTTTGTGTCAAACAATTTGATGTTCTGTGGCCTGCGTCGTGTCTGCACGTGCTGTGTCTCTTCATTCAGCTCTGTGTGTTCAGGATGTACATTCCAGATTTTCCATCAGATCTCCATAGTATATCTGATTAGAGAAATGTCTGGAATTTAGAAAGAGCCCAGGATGCTTTAGGCATGCCTGTTTCTATACCACCACATGCTTTGAGACCAGATCCTTTTCCTTTATCTCCCAGGCCGTAAATAACCTGAACCTGCTAACACTGTTCACTTAAGAGACAGTGAAAAGCTTTTTGACCATTTATTCAACTGGTTCTAGTCCTACCTGTTGCTAGAGTGTGGGATTTGGGGATCCCCCTTTATCCCCCATCTGATCTGATAGGATGGTGAGGGTCATTTTATTCCATTTATGTTCACTCTTTCCTCAGCTAAAATTCTGGTGCTTGTATGTCTACCAGTAGTGAGTAAGTGTCCATGTGAGGGTATAACTCTGTGGGAGAGAGAGTGCGCACATGCAATGCAGATGTAAATGCATGTGTTTTAGGCTCCACGTTTCAAAAGGGATATGAAGAACTCAGGAGAACAAAAGAAAACAATGGAAAGAAAGGAAGGTTAGGAAAAATTCAAATTCACTGATGCTAGAATAGGCTGAGTTGAGTCAATAGTTATTAACTTGCACGAGTGGGGAACCCTATGAAGCCTTGGTTCTCCCCCTTCCTCTGTTTGTACTTAAGAGCAAACTGCAGTTAACCTGAACTGGGTTAGGATCTATGCTGCTAAGAGGCAGAGGGATGGGTGGCTGACTTCTGACAGCACTCATTGCCAGTCTGGGAGATTCTGTGCTGTAGCAGTCCAGAAACAGTGCAAGTCAGGACCTCAACTCTTACCTTGGCCTTTGGTGCCCTGAGCCAGAGTGACCTCAGGATTCTTCACTCCCTTCTTCCTCCTTCCAGAACCAGCAGTCATCGGCAGCTCCAACCTCGCAGGAGAGAAGCAGCAACCCTGCCCCCCGCAGGCAGCAGGCGTTTGTGGCCCCACTCTCCCAAGCCCCCTACGCTTTCCAGCATGGCAGCCCACTACACTCGACGGGGCACCCACATCTGGCCCCAGCCCCTGCTCACCTGCCAAGCCAGGCTCACCTGTATACGTATGCTGCCCCCACCTCTGCTGCTGCATTGGGCTCCACCAGTTCCATTGCTCATCTTTTCTCCCCCCAGGGCTCCTCAAGGCATGCTGCAGCCTATACCACTCACCCTAGTACTCTGGTGCACCAGGTTCCTGTCAGTGTTGGGCCCAGCCTCCTTACTTCTGCCAGTGTGGCCCCTGCTCAATACCAACACCAGTTCGCCACCCAGTCCTACATTGGGTCTTCCCGAGGCTCAGCAATTTACACTGGATACCCGCTGAGTCCTACCAAGATCAGCCAATATTCCTACTTGTAGTTGATGAGCATGAGGGAGGAGGAGTCATGGCTGCCTGCTCTTGGCCTGCTCCTGAATTCTTAATAATGGGCTATGGTGAGCTCCTCCCTTACCCTCTCTTGAAACTTCTTAGCCAGCAACTTGTTCTGCAGGGGCCCACTGAAGCAGAAAGTTTTTCTCTGGGGGAACCTGTCTCAGTGTTGACTGCATTGTTGTAGTCTCCCAAAGTTTGCCCTATTTTAAAATTCTTTATTTTTGTGACAGCATTTTTGGTATTTGGAAGAGTTCAGATGCCCATCTTCTGCAGTTACCAAGGAAGAGAGATCGCTCTGAAGTTACCCTTGGAAAAAATATTTTGTCTCTCTGACTTGATTTCTATAAATGCTTTTAAAAACATATGAAGCCCCTCTTTATTTAACTTTGTTTTATTGTGATTGCTGATCAGAGGAAAAATGCTGATAGAAAGACTTAAATCTGATAACAAGTAAGAAAAGAAAAATCATTACTTTTTGTTTGTTTAAAAACTGAGACATATTTGCCTATTTCACTTTAAACTCAGCTTGTGTAAGTCTCTATTTTAATATCAGGCATTTCTCCTCAAAATTTCATCTTTGTTCATGGGACATGTAAACTTAGTGTTTTAGTTTTGTTTTTATGTCACATTATAGTTAATGGGCAGTTGTTATTTTTGCAAAACTGGTTACATATTACTCTGTGTTGGGATTCTCTTAGTTGCTTCTGTGTTTATTATAAAGTAATGTTAAAAGGCAGCTCACCATTTGCTGGTAACTTAGTGTGAGAGAATCCATACCTACCATGAAAGCACCATGTATTCTTTTTAAATGAAGCACCATGAATTATTTTTTAAATTATTTTTTAAAAGTCCTCTCTCTGATTCAGCTTAAATTTTATTATTGGAAAAGCCATTAAGGTGATTATTGTATGGTGGTGGTTGTTTTATTATATGCAAAATCTCTATTATGAGATACTAGCAGTGATGAGCTTTGCCTAAAGGTTGTTGGCATTGATGAGCTTTGCCTAAAGATTAGTATGAATTTTCAGTAATACACCTCTGTGTGTTTTCTTTGTCTCTCCCTTCTGTTTTATGTGATTTGTTTGGGGAGAAAGCTAAAAAATCTGAAACCAGATAAGAACGTTCTTGTGTATAGCTTTTATACTTTAAGTAGCTTCCTTTGTATGCCAGCAGCAAATTGAATGCTCTCTTATTAAGACTTATATAATAAGTGCATGTAGGGATTGCAAAAAATATTTTAAAAATTTATTACTGAATTTAAAAATATTTTAGAAGTTTTGTAATGGTGGTGTTTTAATATTTTGCATAATTAAATATGTACATATTGATTAGAAAAATATAACAAGCAATTTTTCCTGCTAACCCAAAATGTTATTTGTAATCAAATGTGTAGTGATTACACTTGAATTGTGTATTTAGTGTGTATCTGATCCTCCAGTGTTACCCCGGAGATGGAATTTATGTCTCCATTGTATTTAAACCAAAATGAACTGATACTTGTTGGAATGTATGTGAACTAATTGCAATTATATTAGAGCATATTACTGTAGTGCTGAATGAGCAGGGGCATTGCCTGCAAGGAGAGGAGACCCTTGGAATTGTTTTGCACAGGTGTGTCTGGTGAGGAGTTGTTCAGTGTGTGTCTCTTCCCTTTCTCCTTCCTTCCCTTATTGTAGTGCCTTATATGATAACGTAGTGGTTTATAGAGTTTACAGTGAGCTTGCCTTAGGATGGACCAGCAAGCCCCCGTGGACCCTAAGCTGTTCACTGGGATTTATCAGAACAGGATTAGTAGCTGTGTTGTGTAAATGCATTGTTCTCAGTTTCCCTGCTGACATGGAAAAGTAAAAACAGCAGCTTTCTCCTTTACCATCACCTCTACCCCTTTCCATTTTGGATTCTCAGCTGAGTTCTCACAGAAGCATTTTTCCTATGTGGCTCTCTCACTGTGCGTTGCTACCTTGCTTCTGTGAGAATTCAGGAAGCAGGTGAGAGGAGTCAAGCCAATATTAAATATGCATTTTCTTTATTATTTTTTTTAAGTATGTGCAATCGTTTTTAGAATAAGATTTTTTTCCTTTTCCCATGTGGCAGTCCTTCCTGCAAATAGTTGACATTCCTAGTAAAATATTTGCTTGTTGAAAAAGAAAAGCATATAACAGATGTGTTTATACCAAAGAGCCTGTTGTATTGCTTACCATGTTCCCATACTATGAGGAGGAGTTTTGTTGTGCCACTGGTGACAAGGAACTCACAGAAAGGTTTCTTAGCTGGTGAAGAATCCAAGAAGGAACCAAAGCCTGTTGAGTCACTGGGGCTTTTGAGGTTTCCTTTAAACAACTTGTATATTCTTGGGGCCCTTCAAGCTGTGAAATTGTCCTTGTATTCTCAGCTCCTGCATGGATCTGGGTCAAGTAGAAGGTACTTGGGATGGGGACATTCCTGCCCATAAAGGATTTGGAGGAAGAAGGTTAACCCTAAGATACAGATGTGTTCCATCTGAATTGAAAATCATATATTTGAGAGATAATTCTAGGAGTGGTTCTGTGTAGAGATGGTGTCAAGGAGGTGCAGGATGGAGATGGGAGATTTCTGGAGCCTGGTCAGCAAGCTCTGTACCGGGTTGAACACCGAGGAGCTGTCAAAGTATTTGGAGATTCTTTATTGTAAGGAGTAAGGGCTTCCAAGATGGGGCAGGTAGTCAGTACAGCCTACCAGGAACATGTGTTTTCTGTCTTTTTTTCATCATCATATTGCGTTGTATTTTTAGCACTATATTGGTTAAGACAGCCAAGCAGTTTGTGTGTTTTCTGTCACTAGTGTTATATAGTTTTCTGGTCAGTGTGTGGTCTCTGTGTCTCCTTTTTGCAAAGCACATTCTGATTTTCTTGTTCAAACACAGGTCTAGTTTCTAATGGAAACATTTTTTTCTTCCTTATCTTTCCTCTACAAGGGATAAGATTTGTTGTTTTTTAAAAAAATGAGATGTAGAAAAACAAAACTCCACTCCTGCCCTCCAGTCCAATAAGTAGATACCATTTAAGATAGGAGTTTAACTCCATAGGAAAAGATAATATACAAGAGCTTGTATCATTACCTTAATCACCTGACTAGCAGTGTGTGGCTTTAAAAACTTTAGAGATTTTCAGTCTTACTCTGCAAACTGGCATTTCAGATTTACTAAGATAAACACCCACCTGTGTCTGCTGAACGTGTATGTGCTCGATGTGGCTTTAGATTCTGTCCCTGAGGCTTAACACTGCTGGCCCTGACAGCGTCGGGTAAGCCCCATGAATTTAGCTAGCAGCTGGCCTGGGTCACAGTGGCCTGACCTCAAACCAGCTTAAGGCTTTAAGTCCTCTCTCAGAACTTGTATTTCCAGCTTCTCCCCTTCCGGGTGAGAGAGGAAGTGGGGAAGGGTTAAGTATAGCCACTCTAGGCTCATCCGGACACTTGATCACTCCAGAGTTTTTAATAGCTCCCAGGAGGTGATAACACTCTCAGTGCTCAGCTGAAATACCAACCCCAGGAATAATAACTCCATTTCAAACTATTCTGGCCATTCTGAGCCTGTTTTTGTGATTGCTCATCCATTGTCCTCCGCTGGAGGGGCTAAACTTGACTGCCCTTAGCCAGGCAAGCACAGTAATGTGTGTTTTATTCAGCATTATTATGCAAAAATCCACTAGTTGAGATGGTTTGTTTTAGAATAGGAAATGAAATTGCCTCTCAGTGACAGGAAATGGCCCGAGCCTGCTTCCTATTTTGATTTTTTTTTAAACTGATGGATGGTGCAGCATGTCTACATGGTTGTTTGTTGCTAAACTTTATATAATGTGTGGTTTCAATTCAGCTTGAAAAATAATCTCACTACATGTAGCAGTACATTATATGTACATTTATGTAATGTTAGTATTTCTGCTTTGAATCCTTGATATTGCAATGGAATTCCTACTTTATTAAATGTATTTGATATGCTAGTTACTGTGTGTGATTTAAACATTTTTTTGCTTTCTCCCTTTTCTGGTTGTGCGCCGCTTTCGTTTACAACAAGCCTCTAGAAACAGATAGTTTCTGAGAATTACTGAGCTATGTTTGTAATGCAGATGTACTTAGGGAGTATGTAAAATAATCATTTTAACAAAAGAAATAGATATTTAAAATTTAATACTAACTATGGGAAAAGGGTCCATTGTGTAAAACATAGTTTATCTTTGGATTCAATGTTTGTCTTTGGTTTTACAAAGTAGCTTGTATTTTCAGTATTTTCTACATAATATGGTAAAATGTAGAGCAATTGCAATGCATCAATAAAATGGGTAAATTTTCTGATTCACGTGGCTGTTTTTGACTTCTGTTACGAGATACAAAGGAGATCATCAGATGACATCTTTGGAGTGGCTAAACACCCTGCATTTGAACATCAGTAGAGTATTAGAGATAATTTCTTTCTTCATACAAATATCCATAATGGAAATGAATAGGATTTTTGCAGGGAATACTTCACAAGAATGTAGTGCCCATGGCCCTTTACTTTAAGATTGTCTGGATCTGACCCTTTGAAAAAGGTAGGAAACTTCTGAGACAAGATAATTAAACTTTGTTTCCTAGCATATTTCACCAAACATCTAAAAGTAGCAGAATGAAAATAAGAGTCACCACAGGAAGAAGCTATTTTTTCCCTCCTTTCAAGTTGTACCGTTAGAGCAGTGTAGAGGCACAGTACCTCTGATCAGATTTCTCCTCATTCTAAAGTGAATAAAATTTCTCCTTATAAAGAAATAGGGGTATGTCTAGATTATTCACCTCAAGTCTCTGAATAAACACTGTATTTGTTGGACTTTTTTTGACACATGTGTTTTAGGCTAAGTCTACCTTATAGTGGCTATTAATTCATTTTGGGCTCCTGCAGTCTTAGTTGGGATATGGAAATGAGAAATACATATAAATATCCTTTTGGACTATAACTAGGACTAATGATCAATAATCTGTTTTCTCCCAGTAGTAGGGAGATCAGAATACATTTATTTTGATTTAGACTGCAACATACATATGTATTTTAATTTTTTTCCTAAAGAAATGAATGTAAACTAGTGTGAATTTGCTGAACACTATTCAGTTTTGGTAAGAGAATAACTTGGCCACTTTCAGGGAGAGGAAAACCATGTAGAATGGCTCTGCTGTCAGTCTCATTTCCAGATAATTGAAAGTTTCTTTTACTAACTCCTCAATGACCTGTTATATTTTCTTCTTTGGGCTAAATCAGAGAGATTGGTATAGTCTCCAAAGTAGTAATCAGGTCATATGTGGGGAAATCTGCATTTTAGTGATGAAAACCCCTGTAAATTCAATCTTCTTGGCTTGCTTTGTGGAAAATATTCTACATACAGTGAAGTCTAAGCCTTGGTTTCTCTATTAGTCATGAGAGATGACACCAGGTGCTTAGCACAAGGTGGCGCCAATGAGCTACAGAAGTTAGATTTAACCACGTTAGCCTTTTTTTCCTGCTTTCTCTCCTCCAACCTCATTTACTCTGCTTCCAGCTTCCACTAAACAAGACACAAAACAATCCATTCTATTATTGCAGGGAATGGGAAGGATTAATGAAGGATGTCAGTTTCTTAAGAAGTCAACATTGGAAGCATTCTCCTAAATCAAGGAATAGAGTTTGCTGAGTTTTCTCTGGGGTCTCTGCTTCCTGCAGCTAGCTTCTTTCCCTGGGTGACTGCCCAGAAGGCCTCTGCCTTCGGGTTTCCATCTCTTTCCCCTCCAGGGGAGCCCACAGCCTAGGCGGGAGGTGGTTAAGGCTTCTGGCTGCTGTGCTATGGGGCCATCTGTGTTTGATCAATCCAGGCGGAAAGGAGGGGGTGGGGGTTGTAAAGAGACTGTGAAAGCATTCCAGAGTAGTGAGAGAGACCCAGAGATCAGAAAGAGAAGGCACCGCCCCCACCCCGCCTCCAAAGCTAGCCACGGGTTTGAGGGGAAGAGGCCGCCTGCACACTCCTACTCTGGCCCCACTCTGCAGGCTGCCATGGGGCCCAGCACTCCTCTCCTCATCTTGTTCCTTTTGTCATGGTCGGGACCCCTTCAAGGACAGCAGCACCACCTTGTGGAGTACATGGAACGCCGACTAGCTGCCTTAGAGGTGAGGGACTCCTTTCCAGCCCGGCCTGGAAGGATTCCACATCTGTTGGTTCAACCAGTTTGTCAAGGGTCTGGGGATGATGAGATAGGGCTGTGTAAGAACCTACAGAAAATTCTGTCTTTTAATAAGAAGATCTTCAAAATTATAAGCCTTCCTCTTTCCCCACATAGCACAATTCCAAAGCAAATAGACCTTTGTATTTTACCCCTAGGATAAGGTGGGATAAGGGCACAGAATGAAAATGAGAGCCAAGATTGTGGGGATGCATCTCAGGAGGAGTTGATGATTCTCAGATTCCCAGAGAATCTGCAGCTGCCTGCTTTTTAACAGTTTGAGGTCTTGTAGTGCCTTAATTACCCAGAGCAGAATTGTGTAATGGAACAGAGACCCCTTCCTACCTTCAAGCACTTAGACCTCCCTGGAGGCTCAGATGCTCAGAGAGAACACAGGTTGGAGACAGGGAGTCGGGGCAGGCGCCTAGGTGAATCTGAGCTGGACTTTTTGCATGTTTAGCACCCCTGAACATCTGGTTTCCTTTTCTGTGAGAGTAGAAGGGGATAGTGAAGCCTGGCTGAGTTTTTTCTTTTTCCCCTTCCTGACTCCCTGGTTGGGCCTCTCCCTGCCTGGGAGTTGTAACCCTGCAGCCTCCCTCCCGGGTCCCCATCCCTTCAGGAACGGCTGGCCCAGTGCCAGGACCAGAGTAGCCGGCATGCCGCAGAGCTGCGGGACTTCAAGAACAAGATGCTGCCACTGCTGGAGGTGGCAGAGAAGGAGCGGGAGGCACTCAGAACTGAGGCTGACACCATCTCAGGGAGAGTAGACCGTCTGGAACGGGAGGTTGACTATCTGGAGACCCAGAACCCAGCTCTACCCTGTGTAGAGTTTGACGAGGTGACTGGAGGGCCTGGGACCAAAAGCAAGGGCAGAAGAAATGAGAAATACGATATGGTGACAGGTAAGTGATCTGAAAGCAGGCCCCTAACACTCTCAGAACCTGTATTCTTCCTTGCTTCTTTTTCTCTCTGTACTTGTCCACTGTGGCTCTATCTTCTGGGATCTGTATTAAGGAAATCTCTGGTCCATTAAGGAGAGTTTCTGGAGACCCAGGTCCCTGTGGTGTCTTCTCTTTCTCAGTTCTCCATGAGAGTGGAGGCATCCGCTGAGCAAATGCCCATTGTTCTCCAGTAGTCCACCCTGGGGGAGTTCCTGCTGTAGGCATCTAACGCTTGCCTCTATTTCCTTTTCCTGTGTTTTTCTCCTTCCCCACCAGACTGTGGCTACACAATCTCTCAGGTAAGATCAATGAAGATTCTGAAGCGATTTGGTGGCCCAGCTGGTCTGTGGACCAAGGATCCATTGGGGCCAACAGAGAAGATCTACGTGTTAGATGGGACACAGAATGACACAGCCTTTGTCTTCCCAAGGCTGCGTGACTTCACCCTTGCCATGGCTGCCCGGAAAGCTTCCCGAGTCCGGGTGCCCTTCCCTTGGGTAGGCACAGGGCAGCTGGTGTATGGTGGCTTTCTTTATTATGCCCGGAGGCCTCCCGGAGGACCTGGAGGGGGTGGGGAGTTGGAGAACACTTTGCAGCTCATCAAATTCCACCTTGCAAACCGAACGGTGGTGGACAGCTCAGTATTCCCAGCAGAAGGGTTGATCCCCCCGTACAGCCTGACAACAGACACGTACATTGACCTGGCAGCCGATGAGGAAGGCCTTTGGGCTGTCTACGCCACCCAAGAGGATGACAGGCACTTGTGTCTGGCCAAGTTAGATCCACAGACGCTGGACACAGAGCAGCAGTGGGACACACCATGTCCCAGAGAGAATGCTGAGGCTGCCTTTGTCATCTGTGGGACCCTGTATGTTGTCTATAACACCCGCCCTGCTAGTAGAGCCCGCATCCAGTGCTCCTTTGATGCTAGTGGCACCCTCACCCCTGAACGGGCAGCACTCCCTTATTTTCCCCGCCGCTACGGTGCCCATGCCAGCCTCCGCTATAACCCGCGAGAGCGCCAGCTTTATGCCTGGGATGATGGGTACCAGATTGTCTATAAACTGGAGATGAGGAAGAAAGAGGAGGAGGTTTGAGGAGCCAGCCTTGTGTTTCGAATCTCTCTCACCCCTGTACATTTATACTCCCACTAATTTTCTGCTCCTCATTCTTCAAATGTGGGCAAGTTGCAGCTCAAATCCTCTATTTTTTAGCCAGTGGCAACCAAATTCTCATGGCCCCTTAATTTCAGATGGAACTCCAGATCTTGAGTAATCCTTTTAGAAAAAAGTGAAAACTCTAAATGTTCACTCTTCTCTCCTGCCCCATATTAATAAATTATAGGCCAAAGATGACTCACACCCAGAGCTCTCACCCTTGTATGGGGGCAACCCCAGGGAGCAGACTAGCTTGTTCTTGCCCTCACTGTGACTTAGGGGAGAGAGGAATAGGAGGAGACTTCCAACTCTACACTCTCCCAACTCCTTCCTGCAGTGTCCTGAAGAATGGGACTTTCTCCACATCGTTTTGTATTGCAACATTTTGCATTAAAAGGAAAACACACTACTCCTCTCCTGTGTTTGTTTGGGGTAGCCCATAGATCAAATTTCTCCCTGTTAGCCTCCATTTTCTTCCTCCAACCACATCCCTATTTCTTAAGCCACATTAGGGACTTGGCTGGGCTCCCTTTGCTGAGCGAGATTTTACTGTTAGGCACCCGGGAAGTGGCTGAATCTTGCCACTTCAAGAAACTGGATGAAAGGCCTCCTGCCACACCCGCTGTCATCTACAGCCACTACCCCAGAACCTCAATGGCACCGTGCCTCTGGCTATGAGACTCTGGGGCCCAGGGGTAGAGTTTCTAATTCCAATTCTCAGCAGATTTGGAGCCAGAAAATGGATGTTAATTCCGTTGAAGTCTAGTGTGAAAACCAGAGCCCTTAAATGCATGTGTTTTTAGTAAGAACTTAAGTCTCACCTCCGAAGTGGACTCTGCCCCCCACTCCCACCTCCAGCGTTGGGCTCTTCCCCAGGCGGGTTGCACAATCGTTCTCGGTCTGAACCGTTCTGATTTTCCTGCTGCCACAGCGTCTGCGGTTTGGGCAGGGAGGACTGGCAGTGACCGTGTCCCAGATGTTGGTCTTTCCCCACTTTGCTCTCCACCCTCGCCAACCCCCGCTGCCCACCCCAGTCCTGAGCCGGCTGAAGTGTGTCCAGAACTGGAAACGAACCCTTTCTGGACTAGCGCCGCGGCCTGTGGCGGGACTGCAGAAGCGGCTGGGGAAGGGGGAGGAGGGAGGCGCCGGGATTTGGACTGGAGTCTCTAGGAATCTGCAGCTTTCCGCGCCGGCCCCCAGCCCAGCCTCGGCCCCGAGTTCGGGAGCAGGCTGGCCGATGGAAGGCCACCGCTTTCATGGAGCGGTTTACCTCAGGCGGCCCTGGGCGTCCCGTTAGTTATTTACCCCAGCGGGGAGGGGAGGGAGCGCAGCCTCCTTCCCGCCCAGGACCCTGTGATCCTCCCTTTGTCTTCTCTCTCCCCTGGCAGAGCTGCTCCTGACGTAGGCTGGCGGGGAAGGGGAAAGAAAGGCAGTGCGCGCCTCACCACGGCGCTATTGTAGGGAGCCCGAGGCGGGTGGGGGCCCGCTCCCATTCAATTCTCTCCTAATGTGGGGCTGGCAGCAGTAATGACTGCCTGTCAGCCACCGAGGGGTCTGCCCACGGAACATCTGGCTCCCGCGCGGCACTGCGCCCCGGGGGTGTGGAGGAGGGAGGAGGGCTCGGCGCGGGCGGGAGAGCGCCGTCTAGGGGAGGAGGGCCGCGGCGGGGCGCTGTGAGAGTGTGGGGGGGTGTGTGTGTCTGTCTGATCCGAAGCCGGAGGGTAGGGCTGTGTCTGTGGAGTTATCTGGATGCAGCACCAAACATCACAAGTTGCTTTTGGATGACCCTGACCAGAGAATAATTCTGAGACACTGTGTGTAAATGACATCAAGGAACCACTACAGGAAGTACAGTCTTAATACCTTGTCAATTCCGTGAAAACTAGATCCTTCTGCCTCACGCATGTGCGCTTGTCTTTGGGGTATCTTTCTATGCCTGCTTCCTCAACAAGAAAGAAAAAAACCCAGCTTTTTTCCCACCCCTAGTACTTAAAATTTCTTTTGAAAAGTTCACTCAGACTTTATTCTGAAAGGGCAGAAATCTCTGGGGCCTTGTCATTTATTACTTTTCTCTTTTTTTCCTCTTTGGCTCCTGTACAACAGCTAGTGCTATTTTGGAAGCGTTTTGGAAGGTGAGTGGAACTTTGTGGGCAGATCCAGTGAACTGTCCAAATTCATTAAACTAAATTATCTGCTGCTCAAGGAGACAGTCTTGGTAGCTGAATCCTATCATCTAAAAGCAGCCTCATCACCCCTTCTCAGACCATCTACAAGTCATCACTTGGCAGAAACAGGTTATTGACACAGGAAACGTGGCTCCCAATGCTGGGAGCCTCTTGAGGTCCAAGTGAGTCCTTGCTTTCCCCAAGAAAGAATTCAGGAATGAGCTGACAGTATAAAGTGAAAACAAGATTTATTCAGAAACTATAGAAAGTCTACTCCACATACAGAGCAGAGGGAAGTTCTCCCTGCAGAAAAGAACTAGCCCCCTGGTTCCTGTTGCCCTTCTACTTAAGCAATGGTGTAATTATAGGCTAAACAAGGGAGGAATGTTCATGGAGGGGGTTGGTGCTTTCCTGGAATCAGGGTGGCACCCTCTGTTTCTCCACCATCTTGGTTCTAACTGGTTGGAACTTGCCTTGCCTCCATCTGTTTTGATCAAGGTAATACAGAACTGTTTTGAGACTTCCTGACTTAGGTAATGCTGCAGCAATGCCTGAATCAATGCCCGAAGCCAGTGGTCCCCAATCTTTTGGGCACCAGGGACTAGTTTCATGGAAGACACTTTTTCCACAGATGGTGGGGGAGGGGTGGCTTCAGGATGATTCAGCATATTACATTTATTGTGCACTTTATTTCTATCATTATTACATTGTAATATATAATGAAATAATTATCTAACTCACCATAATGCAGAATCCAATGCTGCTGCTGAGCTGACAGGAGGTGGAGCTCAGGCTGTGATGTGAGCAATGGAGTGTGGCTTATAAATACAGATTTCGCTTGCTGGCCAGCTGTTCACCTACTGCTGTGTGGCACAGCTCATAACAGGCCACTGACCAGTACTGGTCCTCAGTCCATGGGTTGCAGACTGCATCCCACAGCCTGAAGCAGTGTCCAAAGCAATGTCCAAAGCAATACTTTCCAATTCTCTGTCTCATTCCTCCCTCAGAAATAATACTTCCCCTTAATCTTAAGGGGTTGTAGAAGGACAAAGGTCTGTCTTCTATAGCTTCTTCCTGCTGATTTTATGGGTGTAGGACCTGTCTAGCATTGGGGGAGTAAAAATCTCTAGAAACCTGGTCTAAGGGGCCCAGTGGCAGGATGGTTCCATGTTCTTAATAGGTTGGTGGGATGGGTTAGAAGCCTTGTATTAGCATCAACTTGAATTGAAATCATTGTAACCTGGAAAATACAAATTTTACCAGAGTAAACAAACATGGTCCAGAGATTGAAAGAAGAAATTTAGCTAATAAGGGCTCTAGGAAAGGAAGGAACCAAATGATGCTGGACCAATATCTCCTAATAGAATCCCAGACAGTATGGGCAGTGGGCTTATTGATATTTACGTAGCCATGTAGCCTGTCGAAGGAAGATGTCTGCCCTTTGTTCTACCTTCCCTGAATCATGGATGTGGACGCAACAAGAAGTGTTTGCAACAGCACGTGGCTGGACTCCCTGTTCAGCCAAAATGCAAGATGTCCAAGATGAACAGAAAGGGTCTTTTCCAGGAGGAGGAGGGAGTGTAATGTAAACATGGTGAAGAACTAAGGCAAAATGCAAGTTTGCTTAATAACTATGAAAGTGACTTGATTCCAGCCACTAAGAAGCAAGCAAAGTAACAGTGACCAGTAAATTACTAGGAAAATACTAACAATGATTAAGAAAAGAAGAGCAAGCACATTCATATTAATCATTTGAAGGAGAGTGTTACTTAGCTTTTTTGCTGTCTTTGAGAGGCAGCCTTGTGAACAGGTACCTGAGGTCCTCTATGGGCTTATAGGAACTTGCTAGCTCCTCTGTGCCAACCTGTGGGGGCTCAAGAGAAACAGGTTTAATCCTAGACAAATGTTCTCAACTAGTTAGTTCTGATAATGACAGGAAAAGGAAGCTTATAGGTAGCTAAACAGTTACATTATCTAGTAATAAAGTTATATTAATTTAGATAGAAACAAAATTATTCAATGTGTCTTAATGTCTCTGAATACAGGCCTGGTCCTTTGTTTCATGAAAGCAGTTTATTTTGATTGTTGTCTTTTCCTGGGTCTGAAAACAGGACTTTGGTTAACTTGAATTTGGTGTGAGATGCCCATGAGCCAAGGCCCTGTAACTTAATAGCACAAGAGTTGGTTAACAATATTTGACACAGATGCTTGTTAAAGATGTCTCTAAGATTTCTTGTCAACAAGGCAATAGTGGCCAACCCTTCCAAAGTCAAGGTTAGTGCAACTGAGAAAACACAAAAGCTAGATCCATGCAGAGGAACGGAGGCTATATCCTATCCTCCAGTGTAAGGAACACAGCAAAACAAATGTTGCAACATACAAATTACAGAATTAATTGGCCAGAAGAGGCTTCAGTTTGAGAACAAATGTAACATTGAGGTCCTCCCCCCCACCCCAAAGCAATTATAATATGACTTGAAGAACTGCTCAGGGTTTGGGCAAAGGAAAAAAAGTTAACACCAAGAGTAGCAGCCTGAATGCCAGCAATAAGAGACCTCAGACAGAATAGGTTTTTGTGATCTCAAGCAGCCTAGACAAATTAAGATACCAAAGGTAAGGCTGGAGTTTAACAGTCTTGGAAGCAAACAACCTAAGGAGCAATAGGCAGCCAGTTGCTGGGAAAATATATCTTAGTTTTAGGGCGAGTAAATATAGGTCATCAGAACTAAGAAGTGTGAAAAGGCAGTAGGAACAAAGGAAAAAGAAAACACAAGGTGGTTCAGTTTGCAGAGAAAGAAAGCAAATCTGGTTGGCCACAGTGGCGGCTCATGCCTATAATCCTAGCACTCTAGGAGGCTGATGGAGGTGGGAGGGAGGATCACTTGAGATCAGGAATTTGAAACTAGCCTGAGCAAGAGTGAGACCTCATCTCTACTAAAAGCAGGAAAAAAAATTAGCCAGGCAGGTGGTGCACATTTGTAGTCCCAGCTATTCAGGAGGCTGAGGCAGGAGGATTGCTTAAGCCCAGAAGTTTGAGGTTCCTGTGAGCTAGGCTGATGCCATGGAACTCTAGCCTTGGCAATAGAGCAAGACTCTGTCTTAAAAAAAAAAAAAAAAAAAGAAAAGGCTGGGCATGGTGGCTCACACCTCTAATCCTAGCACACTGGGAGGCCAAGGCAGGAGGATCGCTCAAGGTCAGGAGTTCAAAACCAGCCTGAGCAAGAGCAAGACCCAGTCTCTACTAAAA